CGTCTTCTATTTGGCAGCTTTAAATCACACTTCTTCCAAATTTGAGAATTAAGCCTCACCTTGCTGTCAATCAGTAACAACCAAAGATACTTATTTCAATCCGATTTCCATATTATTCGACCCATATTTTAATAAGCAAAGTATTAAATGAATAATATCCAATTATTTTTAATACTAAAGATATTTCGTTTTTCATTTTAATTATTATTTTTTCTTCTACCTTATTTTTACTGAAAGTTTAGATTCAATAGGACCACCAATCAACCTAGTTGAAGGGATCGGCCCATCAATCCCTGCCAACCAAACGATCCTCAGCGTCATTATCGAAGTCAAAACATTAATTAATTAATATGGTTAGCAGATTGTAACCCTGCTGTTTTACTATACGTATTACTAAAGTATAAAGAACATTTAGTGTCTATTTACCTATACCTTTAAAATTTAAACGAATAATTAAAACTGAAACTTTTGTTAAACGTGGAGATGTTTTTTTTATCAGTCTTAAAATGAAATATCAAATTTTATATAATAGTCAACTTCATGAAAGACTGGTATGGTTTTTCATAATTCCTTGTCGAAACTATGTGTGTTTGTTGTATGCAGTTAATTTGTTGTAGACGTGTTTTTTATAAGTTATTTTTTTACCAAAGAAACTTAGTTTTATCAATATGCTTCGAACATTTTATTAAACTATTGCAGTTGTCTTTAAAACAAAATATAGAAATATTAGAAAATATTGATGATATTCTAATCCTCTTTGTTTAGCAAGTATTTAGTCATATTTAATTCTTGGTATTTTAATTAAAAAGAAAACTTTACTCCTGTTAAAACATACAGGGTGCAATTTGAATGTTTTTGCTTGAACTCTGTTGTGGTTAAATATATTTACTATAAAAAAAAAATTGTTTTTAATAAAAATTATTGAAAAAAAAAAAAACTATATACAGCAGTCAAATTTGCAACATTCCATGAAAGCTGCAGGCAATGACTTCGTGAGTACTCGTACCTAAACTGCTATCGATAAGTAATATAACATAAATTATTATTTTGTTTTTTTCTGATACTTTGTGTTGCATAACAATAACGATTGGAAATAAAAATATATTTTAAATTTAATTAAATTCGATTTTTTTTTTAAATGCATTAAGAATTTTGTTAAATAAATAGTACAGAGAGAATAATGGTGTGATGACTTGAAAGAATACATATGATGGTTGAAATCAAGTTCCACTATATAAGTAGTAGGTATTTGCTCAATTTGTTTCTATGTAAAAGAAACAGATACTTAATATTCTTCTAAACTTCATATTCCAAATCGCTCAGCAAACTTATCATCTGTAAATTACTCTATTCGGCTGTGCCACCAAAAGAGACACCTTGCTCTCTCTAGGGTTCTAGAATCTTGATAATATCTCCCAATCATCCCTCCTTATAATTTTGTAATTCATGAAGCACTTTAAATATGTCTTCAATGTCACTAAAACAATTTTCAATAAAAAAGGTATTATGCGAATAAAATATCGGAAACAAAAAATAATCATTCAAAAGTGAAATCATATACTGTTTCCAAAGAGAACATTTCAAATAAACATTTTTTTTGGAAGTAGAATGTTGTGAGGACATTGCATTCAATGCTAATTTATTTTATTTTTGTTTGCAAAACAGTCTGATTTATCTTATATTGATAAGACTTTATTTTTTTTAATGCTATTTTTTTTTTTTTTTTTTTTTTTTTTTTTTTTTACTTCCTGTTTCTTTTTAATTTATTTTTTTTTTGAGGCCGAACAAAAGTAATTATTTAACTTTTTATTTTTTTTTTTTTTTTTCTCTCTCTCTCTCTAAAACCATAATATCAAAATATAACTCAACACAACACCGAAATTAACTTATATGTTTCTATTGTGTTTATTTCCATGCTATAAATTGTTAAAACAACCCCAAAAAACCAATTTTTTTGCATACTAAACTCGTGTGTGTGAGCAATCAAACCACATTTTTTATGTAAAAAACTCTGTGTTTATCGACCTGTATACGAACATTTTCTGTTATCAATATCACAAGATCTTTTTTTGAAAACTATTGTGTCAACTCCTTCTACTTACAGACTATTTTCCAAGAACCGTCCTGAAAATAAATAATAGTCCTTTAAATTATTTTAAAAGAACGTTATATCTTTATAAGAAAAACAGATAATTTTTGGAATCATAAACTTTATAAAACAATAATTATTTAGACTATACGGATCTATAATTTGCGTAGGAGACTATATTTTTGCGATTATTTGTTCACAGTGTAAATTAAAACCTTGGTGATATTTTAAACTTCATATTGTTAATTTTATTCACCGAGAAAATGAATAGCCTTTACAAAATCATTTAAATAATTTAGAACATTCAAAAATTTGTTTGCTTGTATCACAATTTGCAAAAGAGGATATGCAAAAGATGCTGGGCTTTTAATTTTAGTGAAAAACATTTTCCAAGTCTGATATTGAACAGATTTTAGTACAATAATTCTATATACACTATATAATATTATTTGTTTTATTTATTTTGATTCATTACAAATTCAATTTTGGATATTAATTTCAATAACGTCCTTAAAAGTCTAAACAAGCAACCAAAATTTTATATCTCTAACTATGAATATCTGTGTAGGTACTTATCTTATTCGAATGTATCCTCTGAAGGCTATATTTTCTCACTGCTTTAGTGTTTATGTCAACATGGTCAATAAAAAGACTTATTTAGAGCAAACATGACTTGCAGTCCTTGCACATCGTAACAGCTTTGTCTTTTCCCATTTTTGTTAGTAAGTAGGAGTGGATAAGCCAATTTCCAAATATTCCTGTATGTACTATTATGCCTTTTTATCACTAACAACTGCTGGACTTGTTGGCTATATGGCTTTAGTGTCCTTTGCATGCAACTAATACTGGATTCCACAACCACCAACAT